GTGTGTGTGTTATTGTATGTATATATATATATATATATATATATATATATATATATATATATATTAGGTCTGCTTCCCAGACAGCAAAATGTTTCAAATTTGCTGTCATATAGCCGAAAGTCGTTGCAGCAATTAATTTAGACAAACTCGGGATAAGATGAGACATCATTATGTCGCGTTGAACTCAAATGATAATTTTAATAATGACAAATCTCGATGGCAATTTGTCAGCATCAATCTATTATTCACAACTTAACGACAACTCGTTTTGTCAATTTGTCACCCACAATTACTAACATGTTGATAGCAAATTGGCGATAACTTGAAAGCAACTTGTCATTATTGGAATCCATACTCAACAGTATGTTAACAACAACATGATGGCAACATATGCCAAATAATGCTGCGTATGCTGATAATATGTCAAAACAAAATGTTCTGTGCCAGTTTCCCTGGTAAAAATGATGGACAGAATCGGACAGAAACAGACAAGATTTCTATCAGTTTCTGTTAAGTGTCTGTATACAGATAAAATCAGCTTACAGTTTAGAGGCCAATAGAAATCATGTCCATTTTGTCCAATTTTGTCTATAATTTTTACAGATTTGTGCATTGTAAATATTTCGAAACAACATCGACAATGTTTAAGAGATAATAAAGAATATATAAACTTATTATTTTTGAAACGACAACGTGTGTCCAGAAATATTGCATATTTTAACAAAATGACAATAAAACTATATCAAAAGAAATTTTTAAACAGATTTCAAGACAACTGTTTCAAAAATGCTTATAATACAACTATATAATATAACTATATTACCGTTTAATCAAAATTGTATTGATTAGGGAATGTTGTTAATTTTTATTCATATTTCTATTTTATTTTCTTATTTTATTTTACTGTATTATGTGTAATATGATTAATATAAAGTTGCAATGTACATACATTAGTTACTTAGGATAATATATTATCGCGCTCACGGCAGGCACTCGCAAAATCTCGTGGCGGGCACTAGCGAAATAAAGCGCTTTATAAAGAAGGAAATTTATTAATTAATCAAGAACAACAGAATACACAAACAAATATTCGCAAGATGACAGCTGCTCAGCAGCTCTCCCGCAATCGACTTCGCAAAAAAACAACCACGCGTTGTTAAGAAAATCAAAACATTCCGCGACACGTCACACACACACACACACACACACACACACACACACACACACACACACACACACACACACACACACACACACACACCACCCGCACGCACGACACGCTACGTCACGTACCGACACACACGACACTATTATATTAGTTTATTTTATAGTATTATGACTAATAGTGTAATAATAACTACTATATATTATTATTACATAGTAACTAACTTATATATATATATATATATATATATAACTATATATATATATATATATATATATATAATATTTACTTCGATTCTGTTCCTAGAAAAAATACTTGTAAATAAGAAGAAAGAAAATATTTTACATTTACTGCATATTACGAATGAATAATTTATTATTCGTAATGTTTTATTGTAATTTTTCATTATTTGAATGGAATTTTCCGATATGAACACAAATTTTTTGTTTTATTTGATAGAAGATATTAATTTTTGCTGCTAATTTATTTGCTAATAAATCACGCGTACTGTGAATTTTATTATTAATTTATGCATGCTTTAAAGAAATTAGGTTCTCCCAGTGATATCTCAAAATTATTCTTTGCTAACAGTAAAATCAATTGTAACTACATCAAACTTTGCAGAATACAATATCGACCTGGAAGAAATGGGGACCTGGAGATAGCGGACCTGGCGGTCGTATCAGTGGCTCAGTTTGCGGATTGGATCCAAAATTTTGTGATGCTCCAGCAAGCATCGCACCTTACGAATGGCCAGATGACATCACCAAATGGCCAATCTGTCGGAAAACGAATCCCTTTAATCAACGCTTCAGGTAAGTTTTTACTTTTTAGATGCATAGTTTATTTGATAAATTTTTTTAAAACACAAATGATAAAATATCGTCAACAAAGTTAAAATCCGAAACAAGGCCGTTCGTAGAAATAAACTTATGAAAACAAAACCACGATGATTAATAATAAAAAGAAGAAAATACGAAAAGAAGAAAATTTTTTTACAGTAAAAACGGAGGTCAACGAGGCAATGCCAACTTTCCCATTGGCCGTTACAAAGATAAAATGGCGGAGCATATGGTATGCGAGGTGATTGGTCATCCATGTTGTATCGGAATTCATGGAATGTGTCGTATCACCACAAAGGAATACTGTGATTTCGTCCATGGTTATTTTCATGAGGAAGCTTCCTTGTGCTCTCAGGTGGAATGTTTGCACGATGTTTGCGGAATGATACCATTCCTGCATCCGGAATGGCCGGATCAATTTTATAGACTCTTCACCACCATTTTCCTTCATGCCGGGTAATAGTCCATGACAAGAAAAAACTAATTTATCTATTTTATTAAATTTATTTCGATTTTTTAAATAAATTATTAAAATAGTTGTCAATTTAATTATTTATGTACGATTTATTCCAACAAGTTAAAAGGAATAATTTTTTTAAATTAGTTTATTTAATAAATTAATCCCAATATATCAAATCAATTTATTAAAATATACATTATTAAACTTAATTCAAAGATTCTGTTTATTTATTTATTTTCATTAAAATTTGATAAAATAAAGTCAACTGATTTATTTAAACAAATGACTTCCAAGAAAATAAATTCTTCATTTATATATTTGACTTATTAAATCAATTTTTCAGAATTGTTCACTTGATAATTACGTTGCTGATCCAGTATTTCCTAATGAGAGACTTGGAAAAACTAACAGGCTCGTTACGCATCGCTTTAATCTACTTTACTGGTGCTCTCGCTGGGAATTTGGCCAGCGCAATTTTTGTTCCTTATAGGGCAGAGGTAAGTTCTTAAATCTCTTTATATTGTATTAATTATTAATAATAATTTATTTAGAGAATATAATTATTCATAAAATAATTTTTTGTACAAAGTTCTCTTCATCAGAAAAATCTTCGAGAAATTTCAATTAATATTTTTAATTTAAAACAATTCATGATTATTAATGTTAGGTAATAAAAAAAGATTAAATAATAATGGACTATACGAACTAAAGCTAGTTGAAAATGCTGTAAGTATTTTTTACTCGAGTCGTAACTTTAATAAAAATATTTTATCCGGTCGAAAAGTTTGCGTGATATTTAGGACCTTAAATGCGAAAACAATGTCTAATGGCAATATAAATCTAACGAATTAAATAAGATTACATAAATTACATTGTTGAAGTCACATAATTACAGATCGGTTCGCATAAGTCGAGGCACCTTATAGTTGTCTAAATATAGAAACTATAAGTGAGAAGTGAATCATCGTATAAATTAATCAATCTGGATTGATAAAAAAGTTGAATGATTGGATCCGATATAGTAATAAGTATGTCTGAATAAACAAATAGTCATAACCAATTCCTCGGCAAGCAGAATTTTGGTTGCTAAATTTTTATATATATGAAATAAATTCAAATAATTTTTTATTACCAACCACGTGCCACTATTTTTAGCAGATTAAGAGTCGTAGCACATAAAAAAACTTAAGCAATAATAAGACTTAAGCAGTAAGGAAACGAACATTATGGATTTGCTACTGCTTATGTTACTGCCTTATATTCTCGACTGTGATTGGCCGATTCACTTACTGCTTAAGTTTTTTTATGTGCCACAGTCCTTACAACATAGCAGTTTAATGTAGCAATTCGATAATCAAATATCTTGATATCGATTAAAATCTCTTTTATTATCCCTCCCACAGGAAATGTATATTACAAAAAATATCACCTCAGCCAGGGATGTGCCTACAAATCTTCTGGTTATGAAAAAGAAATGGAATCAAATTCAGAAAAAAAACATTACTTCTTGATGATGATTATAGTCATAAATTTAATCATCAAACTTTACCTTTTTTACTTTTAATAATAGATACTACAAACAGATCTTTGGTATTCCTATGAGCTCTCCTTTGTCGCCGATTATTACAGATCTTGTTACGAAACCTTGAAGAGACTGTAATTGAGTGCTTACCGTGCCAGCTCTTTTTTTATTATCGTTATGTAGACATATTACTTTGCACTCCCGGCAACATGTTACATTCCTTGCAAATTTTAACTCGTTGCAGCGTCTACAATTCACAATCAAGGTGCGAACGGAGAATCGTCTCAGTTTCTTCAACATCATGCTTATTATCAATGATAACAGGAAAATCATTTTCGATTGCTATAGTAAATCAACTTTTTAGATTTCTTAACTTTAACTCCCATCATCTACCTCAACATAAAATTGATGTCATTATGTTTTGGTGAGCAGAATCTTTTTATTTATCATATCCATAATTCCATTTAAAAAATTATCTAATAGCCATTGACATTTTCCCTAACAGCACGCGTACGTTCGTATATTGCGATCATCTCAGAACATACGTTCTAAATATGTTCCTATGTCCGGGAGGGGGGGGGTAACACCTTCCATGGAATTTTGCCGCGAATATTCGCAGCGAATAATAACAATATTAAGAAAGGATGAAAACGGGAAGTTTTCAGTAGATTATGATTGCGTTCCGATATTGATTGCTAGTACTGAAAATCTATAATACACATGACATCCCTTACGGAAAATAAGTGAACAAAATTAAAAATTAAAAAAATAAGGAAAAGTGATGAAATATCCTTTATCTTGGTACCATGTTTTTAAAACGACCACCCATCCAACTTGGGATCCTGGGATCCTCGATGCTGCTTCACTTCTATGTTAGGATGAAGCCTGTTACTGAAATGATGATATAAGTATATAGAGAATAGAATTTTGACATAAAATATGATAGCTCTAGTTAATGAATGTTACTATATTGTACGTATAAACAGTCTCAATTTTAAAATCTCGATTGCATATGTAATTGTAAATAATTTAATTACATATATAAAGCCGTGAATATATTATGTTTAATGAGAATTATTTTTCTTATGAAAATTATTTATAAATTGTTATTATATACTTTGTTTACTTTATAAATTTGTTAATAATTGTATTAAATATACAAAATATTTTTTTTATTTATATATTATAATTAATTAATTAGTTAATTAAAGAAAGATAATAATTAATAATGTTATTTTATTATTTATTTATTAAAAATGGCTTAAAAATAACGATTAAATGACGATATATTTATGACGATAATATTTCGTGACAAATGTTATGTATAGAGTATACGCGTGCGATAGAAAGGCGTACGTATCATTTCCGTACCTCTGAGTATAACCTGAGAATATACACGTGCGATGAAAAAGCGTATGTACCGCTGCGTAAATCCTGAGAACATACGCGCGCAAAAGAAAACCGGAATAATATTGTCAATGATGTTCTAGCGTGGATCTCAGTACATTATAGATAATCACAGTACAAGCAGTATGAAAATGGGATGATTTGCAGTATATCGCGTGCTGTTAGGGTTATTACAGAACATATATATTTTTTAGATATTTTATCAAGACAATTTTTGAGACACAATATGTAAAAGATTGAAATTTCTTATTCTAAAGTAAAATAATTTAATTGTACATGTCATTGATGACCGAAAGTAGAACAAACAACATGTTTTACGATTCCATATGTGGATAATATTTCGGAGAGCTTCCGACCGATACACAATAAGAAAAAACATATCTAAAAATCGCTTTCTCACTACCAAATACGCTCAAGACTTTCATAATTACAGGCAATGACAGATTAGAACGCATGTTTCGTTGTGATGTTATCTATAAAATTAACAGCATCGACTGCGATGCTTCTTACATTGGACAAACAAAACGACGATTTAAAACCAGAGTCTACGAATATATTACTGACAGCAATAAAAAAAGTGGATCCCCGTCCATCCATCGATCCTCGGGAAACCATACTTTTGATTGGGATAATGTTAAAATTTTAGATAATGAACCTTCCTTCTTCAAAAGATTTGTTTCCGAAATGATACATATTAAAAACAACCAATCACGACCTTAATAAACAAAGCGATATGGAATTGCTTTTCGATGTTTCGTATATCGATTCTTAATTCCTTCTCTTCCTGCTAACCGTGTAATTATTTATTCCCTTATGTTTTTTTCTTGTCCTTGTTAACTATCTTATCTCCCTTCTCCTTCCTATTTCCCCTTCTTTTATCTTTCCTTTTTATCCTTTTCACGCTCCACGTTGGAACTTCATACAATTAACATGAAAGAGATAATTTACTTTGGTTGGTTTGTCTGCTTTTTATCAGGTACGGGCGGTTTACTTTGATTTTTAAAAAAATTTTTTTTCAATTTGCGTATATTGTACCTATTACGTCTTTGTAAATTGATATTCAATTTATTGTTATTGAGACATGATTATTACTAATTATATCGAACCAATCGTTCAATTTTTGTCAATCCAGGTTGATTAATTTATACGGTGATTTATATGGTCTTCTCACTTAATTTCTATATTAGAACAACTGTAAGACGACTTACGCGAACCGACCTGTAATTATGTGACTTCAACAATGTAATCTTATTTAATCGAATGTAACTTATTTAATTCATTAGATTTATTTTGTCATTAGAAATTGTTTTTGTAATGAAGATTCTAAACATCACGCAAACTTTTCAACCGGTCGAAAAATTTACGTGATATTTAGGATATATTTTTGTAGGATATATTTAGTACGATTCGAGTAAAAATTATCTACAGCATTTTTAACTAGCTTTGGCTCGTATAAATACAAATATTGTATTGAAAAATAATTCTATCGCTTTGTAACAAATTTTATTACCTAAAATTAATATCAAAAATTAAGGTTGTGTACGAAAACAAGAATTAAATAACAGTGAATTAATACATAATATTTGTAAACAATTATTTGATTATATAATATTGCTATAAAATCTTTATCTCTTCATTTTTTAAGTAATGGCTAAAAAAATAGAATATTTTCAATATCATATAATATTTCTATTTAAAAAAATAATAAATAACGTGTTCCATTTTGA